CCTCCGAATATGAGCAAGTGAGCTATATAAGTGAAGGACTAGGCCAGGTAGCTGCCTAAGGCCCTCAGGTACGCAAAAGCACGGCGTTTCTCATCTGCCGAGCAACCCACGCCTGTCAAGCATCCAGGGAGATACAGATCTTCAATCGGGTGTATCCATGTAATCTGACTCACTCGGTACTGTCACCGTATCATTTCAGTAAGTCGGCAATAATCAAGTACCAAAACCGCTCTATTCTTCTCCAATATCGATGCTTAAGGCATTCCTCATTTGGATACACTGCGCCATTCTGTGACTTTTAGAATGGTAAGAGAAACTGGCGACAACAAGAATACTGCTCTGACTGGCAACCGGCAGAAGATACCTTTCATTCTTCCAGCTTATGTACGGCCTCAATAGATGACTGTCAGCTGTTTCAGCATTAAAAAACCACCCCCATTATGGCAGCAAACACAGCCCGAAAGAATGCAGTGGAATACATCTCCCACGCCGCATGTGTAACCTCGCACGGCTGAGCTCAATCAGAGAAAAGAATGGCAGGGGACATGACCAGAACTGAGACACGCCTTAGGGCCTGATTGATGACTCGTGTTCCAGGTTAAACCTGGAATGGGTCCAAGTCGATCCTTGAGAAGACAATGCATTTGTCAGTATATCGAGCTTCTTGTGGGCTTCCGTGTGCCCGACTATCTCCCACGACCATATTGACATTCTTGCTGAGGGCCAAGATGAGTCGGTTCAAGAAGTCCTTCAACTCTGCTCGAGATCACCGCCACTCATCAGTTATTAGATCCAAATCTGCTCCTGTTGGAGCACGGGCGACTTCTAATCATATCCAGATCTTCAGGCTGGCCTCCCTGACAAGGCCCATTGAATTAGCCCCTGAAATCTGAGTCAAGGTTAGGAAGTGATTGGGACTCAGACAGTCGAAGGCCAATCGATGCTCAGGCATGCTAGAACCTTATGTCTGCTATGTCTATTATTGTAGAGCACACTTCTTGTCTTGTTAATGGCTTTAGCTGATATCCCGCGCTGAAGCGACTGCACTTATTTGTGTGAGTTATAAACACCACTCTGGGACGACTTTGATCAGTCTGAGAGCATAGTACAGATGAAGGTTAGTCGAGACTGATTAGTTGAAGGTACATACTGACCCAGATTAGTGCACAGCAAATATTCAGAGCGATATGTCAGTCGGCGGGCCGAACTTTCATATCTGTCAATTGTCATCGGCATTTGCATCAAGCGGATATACTATCTGGCTCTTTATTGCAAGTGATGTCCAGACCATTCTCCTCCCAAGCACCATTTTTGGCATCACCAATGCTCTCGCCGCTCTGGACTTCGGCGATATGCAGTCTCAGTCTCCCGCATACCTAAATACAGTCCGTCGAATACCTCTGATCATTGGTTGGGTCGGGATCAATCTGCTTCCCCTGACGATGAACAACCAGCGCAGTCCTTCGTCTATCGCGGAAGATAGCCTCAATAAACCCTGGCGACCGCTCCCAAGCAAGCGTCTCTCTGGGTCCCAGGCAAAACGCCTGATGTTCGGCTTTTACGCCCTTTCACTGGTCTTCAGCTTTTGTTGCAGCGGCGGACACCGACAGTGTCTCGGCCTCATCGTCTTAGGCACCTGCTACAACAGCTTCGAAGCGGGTGACCACAACCCCGTCGTCCGAAATATCATCAACGCATTGGGATACTTCTGTTTCAACTCGGGAGCTGTAGAGGTAGCGCTTGGTTCTGGATCTGCTGTATTTGCAAGGTCGCGTGAAGCCAGACAGTACTCGCTCAGTCTCTGGATCATGGTCATCACGGCAATTATCCTGACGACCATGCACGTGCAGGACATGTGCGATCAGGAAGGCGACGCGAAGAGGGGCCGTCGAACGCTTCCCCTCGTGATTGGGGATGCTGCGGCGCGATGGAGCATTGCACTTCCGATGCCTGTTTGGGGGGTCATATGTCCGCTTCTGGCGGACTCTGGACCCCTTGCTACTGGCGTGAGCGTCGTGCTGGCTTTTGCTGTAGCCATTAGGATGCTCATGTGGCGGGATACAGCCAGCGATCGGATGACTTTTCGGGTGTGGAATCTTTGGATCTCAGTTGTGTATATGCTTCCGCTTCTGGGTGGTGTCTCTTGGTCCTAGGGACAGCTATGTGATTTGTATAGATGTTGGCCGTTGCTAGTGATGGGTGTTATATGTTGTATGTTATGATTAATCTTGATTTAGCATATATTATATAGAATTGTTGTTACCTCTCTATGCTAATTACTAAATAGGATTATACTACCAGCACGGTTGATTGGAACACGCACTATCCAGCCTACGTCCACGCACATCTGTGCCCTAACATGGATTCCCATTTTCCTCACCAACTCACCCTTCGATTGCGCAATGGCCGCAGACCCCAGAAATCACTTCGACTGATTGTGGATCAGTTCTGGGAATACAGAATCGACTATACCTCATCTGATATGGTTGTGGAGATGTAGAGCAAGGACACGGGCAGTGGTGCCAGGAGCAACTGACATTAATCAATCCCAAAGTTGTCTTCCATAGAATCACCGAGCTCATAGAAACAGCATGTCTAACAGAATCTGTGTGTCAAAATCTATACACATTGAGTCGTTCTTGGGTGAAATTGATGGGACAAAAGCGAACCAATCCCGCGCCAACATATATATCGTAGCGGAGACAAAGATCCAAAAACGAGGTGGCGGATGGAGAAGAGATGATGAAGATGGCTGGCGAGGAAATATGCATCAATGCGACATTGAGACATCTTATTTTACTTCAAAGCATGTAAGATGCACATCTTCAACTGATGTGGAGGTTGTAGTGCGCGATTAAGCCTGTCTGCCTGTTGCGTCGTTTGCCAAACCTCCGCCCTTGCTTCACATCCATGACGACAGACTCACTTGATCAAACCCTTGACATTCGAGCCATCTCAATCTCTCGAGCAAACTCTTTAAGAACTCAGATGTCCTTGAATGATTAACCAAGTATACACATCACATCACAATGAAAACCCTAAACGTTCTTTTCCTTGGCCTTCTCTGCGAACTGGTAAACAGTACACCCATTCAAGTCAACCAGCTGAACGTCGAGACCTCCTGCGAGATCGAAGGCGGCGACGAGATTGCCAATCTGGCTTGTCATAATGCGGTATTATATTTCCTATTGCCTGTGTCTTTTAATCTGAGAATGGATTCGGCTAAGTCGTGCAGTGTGTCGTTCAGGGTCATGGGTGGAAGGGAGGATATTGCGATGGAGAGTTGTAAGATCGCTGCATCTTAAGATGAACTAAACTGAACTAAGTGTTACAGGATCTGTCATTGCACGTTTTGAGTGGTATATTGTTGCTGTCGAGTATGCAGTGATAAACAATAAAGTACTCGGGTCCTCCGGCTATGATCATACACCATCTCCAAACCTATAAAAGTTCATCCATCTCTGAGGCATATTAGCACTTGTTTGTCGGACAGGGAGCAAACGTACCTTATCATAGGGCTTAGAAGAGTCGCAGAATCGCAGATCGGTCGCTAGACGGATGACATTATCAGGGTCATTGTTGATAGTCGATGAATGAATCTGCGCTCGTTACGATAATCCCATTGGAGTCGGTGGACAGAGAACAAGGACATACCGTATGAGGTTTGTGCAGAACTACATCACCCGCCTCGTAGGCAGACACAAGCCAGCGACGGCCATGCTGCTTGGCAAACTCGACCGGCGACTCGGACAAAAGCCCGGTGGCCATCATATTCGAGTTGAAAGCCGATTTGGCCTCCTCATCGGTCAACCCGGCCTGCTTCGCCCTGGTGGTGAACTCTTCCTCGATCTTGAGTCCAACAGGGTCGCCTGATCGGTCAGCTAACACAAAAGGCATTGTCAAGGCACGGACGATGACCTACCATCCTCCAGATAGATCAAGCCCCCGCCATTGATTTTGATATCCCCCATAGGCACCCAAGCCGTCACACTCGTCGGCTCCCCATACCGCAAGAAGATCTGATCATAGTGCACGCCAATGGGTTTTGTGCCCGGCGTATTATTCCTCAGCAGCGTCCGCCGGAAATTCAGCGTGTGCTCGCCCCAACCGGTGAACTCGGCCACAAACCGGACCAAATCTGGATGGTTGCAGAACTTCTCCGCATACCAATCCTGGTAGTGCGCCTCGATGGCCAAGTCCACAAACTGCGCGGCCTTGTCGCCCCCTGGACGGCCGTTGTTGCCTACCGCGCCGGCGCCGATGCCGGGGTACTCGTCGGGCGACTTGGTGGGGTTGAAGATGCCTTTGACGGGATCGGTGCCTTCTTGGAGAACGCCGGTCGGGGCCAGGAGGGAAAAGTACTGTCTGCGGGCTTCGAGGACGTCCTCGCGGGGGAGAAGGTGTTTGAGGAAGAGGTAGCCGTCCTGCTCGTAGCGAGCGCGGAGTTCGTCCAGGGGGAGGGAGGGGTCTGAGGGACGGAGAAGAGCGGCGTTTTCTGAGGTCAAGGGCCCATCGTTGACTTGGATGTTGTGTTCTAGTGCAAGTCCTACCATTTTGATTATGAGCGAGCGTAGTATGTCTTATTGAGTGAAAGCGGAATGCAGTTGCGGGTTGAAGCATCCAGCTGAGTTCGAACTATATATCTTCGTCAATCCCTCTTCGCATTCATTTCCGACGGACAGATCTATTCTAGTTTCATTCACCATCGCTTAGAATCAGGTTCAGACTATGGATAGTTGCACGATGATGCGTGGTCTTCCCCTCCATGGACGTGGAATACTACTACTTTTAGGGCACGATGGGTCCATTCTCTCTCGACATGCGGGGAATCATTCTCCATGCGATAACTATAGCGTATACCTAGTTACTGCATTTAAGTAAGCGGAGTCATTGACGATAACAGACAGTCTTAGCCTATAGGATAAATATCAATCGAAAGTACCTAGCTTGGGTCAAAGTAAATTCCATGCTCTATTACAAACAAAGGGTATCTCTACAAATCAACCAGTCCACTCCCCAAATGACCACTCCCGCCCCTCATCGCCAACCACCAGCTCCATTGTCGTAAACACAATCTTTTCATACAGCTCTCTAGCTGCCCCTCTCGCCTTCCGATGCCACGGCCCCGTCCCTCCCCGATGCGCATCCTCTCGACTCCGCCAGACACCTACATCAACCATCATCAACCTAGCCCCGCAAAGGAAGAAAAGAAGGAAACTTACAAGTCGCCAGATTCTCCCTCCGCGCATTCGTCGTCCCAAACCAATACTTGAGTAACCCCCCACTAGCCACCGCCTCCTGATGCGACCGTGAGTCCAGCTCATGTATCCTGTCCGCATCCACGTCCGCCAACAGCGTCGACCGGAAGACAACGACGTAGAATTTCGTTCGGGACCAGCTGTGCCCCTCACGGGTGCTCAGATCGCGCAGGAATGCAAAGACAGAGTGCCAGTTGAAGGAGTCTGCGTATGGCGCTGTGGCGTAGTCGGCGCGCACGGGACGGAGGGTTGTGAGGGCCAGGGCGAGGAGGCGGTTGGGTGTATCGAGGGTTTGGAGGTTGAGGAGGTGGAGGGGGGAGTTGTAGGGTGATGCGATGAGGAGCTGAGTTTCCGCTTCTGAGTGTGATTCTGTGGTGCTGCTGACGGTGACATCTTGATAGGGGCTGAAGCACAGCTGGAGGGATGCGGCAGCGTGGAAGTTCAGCGCGTCCATGTCGGATGTGACCAGGCTGTGATGGAAGAGCGAGAGCGGGCGTCTGCTTCGTTTTATTGAAGACAATTGTTCCTGTTCATCATTGAGGACTGCTGCTGCGAGCTCGCTCGGCGAGTCTTGTATCCCGGGGGCCATGGTGCGAATGTCCACCACACTGTGCTCTTGCTCTTCCTCGACTTCGACCTGGCTATAGCGTCAGAGAATGACTACGGGTCAATTGACTGGCAATGCTAGTGATGGACTATCCTGATCGGAAATAAACTGACTACGATGTAGGAGAAGCACATTTTATAAGACAGTGCCGAGCCGAGCACGCAATATCTCGACTTGATGGTTCTTTGCTTTGTGAAACACCCCCCGGCCCACATACTTCATGGATGGATTCATTCCTTGAATTTGGTTCATGATCAGTATTTTATTCCATGGGTTCTATCTTGACGTTCTGCTTGTGGATACTGTCAGGTGTGTCCACATTGGGATAGAGGCGAGGCTATCCACTGTCTACAATATGCCGCAGAGAATGCTTCTTGATGCTCAGCAATGCGAATATCACACAAATGTAAATTCTAAAAGTAGATAATGCAAATAGGTCACCGATTGCGCAGTCCATTGCGCCAAATTCTGCGCGGCGCACGCCATCGGCGCTCGTTCGGAGTTGCAGTACAAAGCCGAACCTTGGCTCGCCGATATTCCTTCCATATTCCAGCCACTCGGCTCTACGGCAATGTAGGGAAACGAGATGTGGATATATTTTATTCCATTTAAGGTCTATCATTATTTGGTATCATGATCACAGAACCCCAACGCCGTCAATGCTCAACAATCAAATAAAATAGACACGGATAAAGCTATGGCTTCACGGGCGGCGGAGGTGGCGCCATTTTGCCCTCGCCGGTGTCGACCTTCTTCCTTGCGGGCAATGGAGGCACTTTGAACCCGCCATTTATACTACTGCTCTGACCGCCCACCTGCGTGAATGTGCCTGATTTGAACCATCGATCCTCCTCCGCCTTGCGCTTCCGCTGGAGCTCGGCTTGCGCTTTGGGATCAACCAGCTCGAGACCCTGCACAGGTGTAAAGGCAATTGTACTGGCCGTGCCGGCGACGCCTGCCAATGAAGGACCCACTCCGGAAGTTCGTAGACCCTTGGCCTGTAGGACACTCGCGGTGCCGCCTGCGCCTGCGCCCGGACCAAACCCACGCAGAGAAGAGGCGGTCCCGCTGACCGGGGTGGCCGCTCCCCAGCCCTTGTTCGACTTGCTGAGCTTGGCCCGGGTTCTCTGGTCTATTTGCGTCGCCCGGACCCGTCCGTCGTCCTGCTGTCCCAGCATACCCAGACCTACGGTGCCTTCGCCAGTGCCATAGCCGACTTCTGCCTCCTCCTTGCCGAATGCAACCCGGTTCTGCGCCTTCCGTAGCTCAGTCATAGCGATTGCTTCCTTGGCCTTTCTCGCTCTCCGTCCACCTCGCTTCCTAGAAGGTTTGTCATCAGGTGCCGGAAGCGCCTTCACACCAGCGTTCGGCGGAGGCTCTGTCAACTTCTCCAAGCGTTGATAGCACTGTTGTTTCAATTCCTCGCCCAAAGAACCATCGGGACTGTACTTGGCCACATCCGCCCGAGTCGCTAGAACCATCTTAGCCGCGACGATTCGAATTGCTTGTTTCTTTAGATCATTCGGAATATCTTGAATAATGGGCGAGTGGTAGAGAAAGCCTTGCGATCTGATACCGATATTCGTAGCAAATCCTAACCCTTCCGATCGCTTGGAGCCCTGCGCGGCCAGATTGCACGCTGGGATCTTGGCCAGTTCCTTCAGCCCACCGGTCTGGTTGAGAAACTGGGCTGCAGTCTCCGGTCCTATCAAGGCGGCAAGATTAGGCGCAATCTGGCTCATGCGCGACTGAATGCTCTGCGTAAGCGCCGTCCGCTCGCGATCTAGCTTGAGAATCCTCTCACAAGTATCCAGCACGACCTTGAGCTCGGCCTCGGTCATTTCGCGTCCACGCGTCGTTGTTCCCTCCACCGTGACAACCATGAGCGAGGGACCGTCCAGGATGGACTTGAGTGGCGCACCGACCATATTATCGGCCGAGGACGAGAGGGCCTTGATATCGTTAAGGGGACCATTCTTCAAGATGGCAACGGTTTTTGCGTAGTCAATAGGATTCGTAACCAGAGTTTCTAGTTCTGGAAATCTGATCGAGTAATGGTCTCGGAGACTCTTGTGAAGGCGTGTGAGTTCGTCGGTAGTCGACACGGCGACGTCAAATTCGTTGGTGACCTCGGGCGCTGGCCGTTGCACCTCTTCGCCGACATCTTCTTCAATCTCCTCGCCGGCCTGGAACTCCTCGTCATCTTCCTCGAAATCTCTCAAGAGTTCCTCCGCGTTCGACATGATGGCAGCAGTGTAACCACAGGCAACCGCTGAAGCAAAAGTGTGGCTGCTGGTTAAGGTGAAATACTGTTGTTGGCCCGCCACAACTGGACAGCGCTAAGAAAGTAACTATCGCTTAGTCATCCGGGTGCCGTCACAGACCCAGAGCGCAGCTTCCGACTTTTGATGGACCAAAGAACCAACGGACTTGTTCGACAACGATCAACTGGAGTTGGGGATCCAACGTCCAGATTTGGTTGCTGATCGAGCCCGACTTCTTCTTTTAAGCGCGTGCTACTTTATCTACACGTACGACCGAAAGTGAACTTGCCATCTCCGCTTGTTGATACCTTGACCCATCGTACCTCCTACACACCACCCATCGGCACCATGGAGTCGTCTCGTGGCCCTCCCAGGGTCAAGAACAAGGCCCCCGCGCCGATCCAGATCTCAGCGGAGCAGCTGCTTCGCGAGGCTGTTGATCGGCAGGAGCCCTCGTTGCAGGCGCCGACACAGCGATTCGCGGACCTCGAAGAACTGCACGAGTACCAGGGCCGCAAGAGAAAGGAGTTTGAAGACTATGTGCGCCGCAATCGGATTAACATGAACAACTGGATGCGGTATGCGTCTTGGGAACTGGAGCAGAAGGAATTCCGCCGGGCGCGATCGATCTTCGAACGGGCGCTGGACGTCAACCCGACCTCGGTGGTGCTCTGGATCCGGTATATCGAGTCGGAGATGCGGAATCKCAACATCAACCATGCGAGGAACTTGCTGGACCGGGCAGTCACCATCTTGCCGCGCGTGGACAAGTTCTGGTACAAGTATGTGTACATGGAGGAGACGCTGGGGAATATCCAGGGTACGCGGCAGGTGTTTGAGCGGTGGATGTCATGGGAGCCGGACGAGGGCGCGTGGAGTGCGTATATCAAGCTTGAGAAGCGGTACAATGAGTTTGAGCGCGCGCGCGCGATCTTCCAGCGGTTTACGATCGTCCACCCGGAGCCGAGGAATTGGATCAAATGGGCCCGGTTCGAGGAGGAGTATGGGACGAGTGAGTTGGTGCGGGAAGTGTACGGGATGGCGATCGAGACTCTGGGTGAGGATTTCATGGACGAGAAGCTCTTCATCGCGTACGCCAAATTCGAGGCGAAGCTCAAGGAGTATGAGCGGGCGCGAGCGATCTACAAATACGCCCTGGACCGGCTGCCCCGTTCCAAGGCGATGGCGCTTCACAAGGCCTACACAACGTTTGAGAAGCAGTTCGGCGACCGAGAGGGCGTCGAGGATGTGATCCTGTCCAAGCGCCGGGTGCAGTACGAGGAACAGCTCAAGGAGAACCCGCGAAACTACGATGTCTGGTTTGACTTTGCCCGGTTGGAAGAAACGTCGGGCGATCCAGACCGGGTACGAGATGTCTATGAACGGGCGATTGCACAGATCCCACCGTCGCAGGAGAAGCGGCATTGGAGACGGTACATCTACCTCTGGATCTTCTACGCTATCTGGGAGGAGATGGAGGCCAAGGATGCGGATCGGGCCCGCCAGATTTACACAGAATGCCTAAAGCTGATCCCACATAAGAAGTTTACCTTCGCCAAGATCTGGCTGCTAAAAGCGCAGTTTGACATCCGCCAGATGGATCTGCAGGCTGCGCGGAAGACTCTGGGCCAGGCCATTGGGATGTGCCCGAAGGACAAGCTCTTCCGGGGTTACATCGAGCTCGAGCGGCAGCTGTTCGAGTTCGTGCGGTGCCGGACCCTGTACGAAAAACGGATTGAATGGAACCCGTCCAACAGCCAATCGTGGATCAAGTACGCTGAACTGGAGCGGGGACTAGATGACTCGGAGCGTGCGCGGGCGATTTTCGAGCTTGGGATCGATCAGCCGACGCTGGATATGCCGGAGCTCGTCTGGAAGGCGTACATTGACTTTGAAGAGTACGAAGGCGAGTACGACCGGGTGCGGCAGCTGTACGAGCGTCTCCTGCAGAAGACAGACCACGTTAAGGTGTGGATCAACTACGCGCGGTTCGAGATCAACGTGCCAGAGGAGGAGGAGGAAGAAGAGGAGGAAGAGGAGGAGCGGCCGGTCAGCGACGAGGCCAAGCGGCGGGCGCGCGCTGTGTTCGACCGGGCCCACAAGGTGTTCAAGGAGAAGGAGATGAAGGAAGAGGTGAGTTATTGGCGCATGTGTCTGGGGAAGATGTTACTGACGAAGCTACAGCGCGTGGAACTTCTCAACGCCTGGCGGGCCTTCGAACATACACACGGATTCCCGGAGGACATCAAGAAGATCGAGGAGCAGATGCCCCGGCGGGTCAAGAAGCGACGCAAGCTGGACGACGACCGGTACGAGGAGTACATGGACTATGTGTTCCCGGCGGACGACCAGGCAGCGGCGAGCCTGACGAAAATTCTGCAGGCGGCGCACACATGGAAGCAAACCAGAGGACAGGCAGGACCATGAGCGCTGCACGCGGGTGTTTAGGTTTGTGGGAGATGTCGAGCATATGTGCGCTCTCCAGTTACTAGTACGAGTACTCTACAGCAAAGGAATTGAGGTCAAGGATACCAGATATAGCATTCCGTTCCATACTCTCATATGGTGATGCAGTAGTTACTTGCACGTGCTAAGCCAAGCAAAAGTGGATCACACTAGTAGCCCAGCCGAAGCGAACAATGACCCGTCGTTTGAAAAGCGGGTGGCTGGTGGGACCGTCTTTCTTCAATTTCAGGTATCACTTGATTCCGAGTTCAG